TCAAAGGGCCTCGTATGCCAGGGTAAGGACTTAGATGTTGTGTGTTAAAGAATCATTGCAGATTTCTCTATTGGGTGGAGCACAAATACAATAGGACCTGTGCTTAAGGGAGATTTATTGTCACCATGTATAGAACAGATGGGGGTGGGGCTGGGGATTTAGCTCAGCGGCAAAAGAGCCTGCCTGGCAAGCGCAAGGTCGTGAGTTCAGTTCCCGGTACCGGAGAAAAACCAAAAAAAAAAAAGAACAGGTGGGGGAAGTTTCCATCAGGTATCAAGCAGGAGAAACTACCTACTTTACAGACTGGCCTATGTTGCAGGAGATATTTGGGTCATAAACCTCTTCTTTAATTTTTAATTTTTGTCTTTTTGAGACAGGGTCTCACTGTGCAGTTCAGGCTGGGCTTGAGCTCACTTTGTAGCCCAGGCTGGTCTCGAACTCTCAATGACCCTCCTGCCCCAGCCTCCTGAGCTGGGATTACAGGCATGCGCCACCACACCTGGTTATAAACCTCTTTAGTTTGCCCAAACTGCAAGAAATTCCTGCCAATCCTTTGCTTATTTAAAATTGTAATAATAATCTATGTATTCAGTAAGTTTCTCTGCTAGATCCAATTCAACAAAAATGTCTTAAGCGCCATGTACAGTGCTCTGCTATATTAGGCATCTGTATTTCTCCCAGAGCATTTAATGCAGGTCCTGTCCTTCATCATATTCACTGTAATGTTAATGACAAATGAATTCCTTCATTTCACTTGAATCTCCTACTTTAACTTAGGACGCAATCATATATCCTCAATAACATTATTTAAAAAGTAAAGATATGATAAACACTAAATACAGGCTAGTGGATGCAAGTGGAGGAAGGCAGAGGAAAGAGGTAGGGGAAGCAACAGATAATGTGATTATTGGTATAGTTCTAGTTTTGCACTGAGTTTATTACACTATTAAGAACAAGTAAGATAATGACCCAGAAAATAAGATGAAGTAGAACCGAACCATATCATTAACTAATATGTAATTCAAAGTTTGATTTTTGTATGTTATGTACTTGATTTCTCTTTTTTAAAAGTTCCATGAATATACATATTCATACACTCAAAAGTAATATCATGGGGAATCTATCCTTTCTATGAGTCTGTCAAAAGTGAGGGAAGGAAATTAAAGTTTATCAGCCTGTGTTCTTGGAAGGCATTTCTGGATAGTATAATGTCAGATTGGAGATAGTTCAAATAGTTATCCTGTGGCTAGCCTGCTACTTGGTGGGGTCAGGTGAGAAAATATACCCCCCAAAGTATACTTATATCCTACCATTCAAATTTCTGTTCCTTTCATTAATTTGCAGAGTGCTTTTATACATGAGATCATTTACTCAGTGTTACATCATTGGATTCTTGGAACTGGGTTAGAGGTCCCTTTAGGAATATCTCAGAGGAATGTAATACGCTCACTGAACAATCACCTGACATTACATTTTTTCTAATTATTGAAGTGATACCAAACTAGGAAGAAATATATCTTGGGAGGTCAAATCTATTTTCAAAATAAAATAATGTATGAAAGAGTTTCCTGTTTTGTTGTCTGTCCTAGAGGTAAATGGAATTCTGCCTTATTTTATTGAACATACAGAACTTGCTGATTTTCAGAAAATTAGGATATAGTAAAATACAGTCAGTGCTAAAACCATTCTGAGTATAGTTTAATTCTTTTTTTTTTTTTTTGGTTTTGGTTTTTCTCCGGTACCAGGAACCGAACTCACAACCTTGTGCTTGCCAGGCAGGCGCTTTGCCGCTGAGCTAAATCCCCAGCCCCAGTTTAATTCTTTTGATATCTAAGGTACTTTAAAATAAAACTAGTAGGTGTTAATGGGCAAAAATTCAAAAAAATATATAAAGTATAAAGAAAGAAGTAAAACTTGATCTATTTAATCCTGAATTTCTACTACTGTTTCTTGTATATCCTTTCAGAAAATTTATCTGTACATACAGTTTAGTGTATAATTTTATTTTTCATAAATGGGATCAGACTGCATACTATCTTGTACTGTGCTTTTCGACTGACTATATGCGTATCATCATTTGATAGTAGCACAAAAAAACTAACGTATTCTTATAACTACATAATAGTATTTTATATGGTTTAGTAATAGTTCCCTGAAGCATTTCTCTATTAAAAAATATATGGATTGATTAAAATAAGATTTAAGTGAACATCTTTGCAAATATTACTTTGAATATTTTTGTAAGTACTATATCTGTAGCGATAGAATTACAGGACAAAAAGCATGTGCATTTTAAATTTTAAAAGCTATGGTTAAATTTTCCTTTTCTAAAATGGTACATTCTTAACAGTTCTTTAAGAATAGATTTCTCATAATTTTCATAATATGAAATTTCATTGTTTTGTAATCTTGCCTTTACTTAATCATAAATGAGGTTGTACATCTTTTGTGAGTTTATTGGTCATTTTTGCTTCCTTCTCTTGTGAAAGGCCTCCAGACTCAGCATAAAGCATTCACAACGTATTTTTATAGCTACATTTTTTTCAATTAGATGATTTTATAATCCAGGCAAATATCTGACAAATAATATTATAGAAATCTTGAGATTATGTTTTTCTTTCTTTCTTTTATTCAATACATTGTCACATCAAATATCTAACACCAAGATGACATTTGGCCTTTCTTATTTGATCTAATGGACAGTTGGTTTTACCCAGTATTCAGTCTATTTTGAATCTAATTTGAGTTTGGAAAATTCCTGAAGTGGAAAGGAGAGAAGAGAGAGAGAGAGAGAGAGAGAGAGAGAGAGAGAGAGAGAGAGAGAGAGAGAAGGAAAAGCGCATTTTTCCTTCCATTTGTAGAAATAAGTTTGAACATAAATTTGTGCTCATGCATAAAGTTCTACGGATTCAGGGCTCATGCCTCTTTCTGTAATTTATTCAGTTTCTATACTGTGACTCCATAGGAAGTGTCTAAGAAAAACAACAGTAATGCCGGTATTTGGCATGACAGTTGTGGCTCAGAGCATCAGTGGGACATAGAGCGGAATTCTTGCTGAGGAATATGATCTTTACTTGATTCTAATTTTATCTTTGTGGTACAGCTTTTAAATATGAGAACAGCTGGTGTTAGATAAATCTGTCCTCACAAGCTGTATGAGGTTGAACTCAAACTAAATATTTGAGGTTAAACCCAAATGCGCAGATGTGGAAATGACTGATTAACTTTTCACATTGCACTTTCTGCATCTTTTTGAAAAGGCACTATTCATCCTGAACTCCTACCAGCCGTCCAGTTTGAAGCTTAAGATTAGCAGAATGTGTACACTAATTTAAGGTCTCACACTTCATAAAGGGTAAAGCAGAATTCTTTTCACCCTGTCCTCCACTCTACTAATAAAATGATAGCTCTTACATACCTGACTGTGTTAGTAACCTCTTGTTCTTTCTTTCCTGAGTAAAAGCTTGCTACCAATGAAACAGTGAGGCCCATACTTCCACTTGGCTGGAATGATAATCCTGTGCGACATTTGAAACTTTGCAAATGATGGGACCTCAACCTCCTGGGAGATTCTCCCCCAGGTGACTGAATATCTTACTAATTGTTAAGGAATTAATAAGGGCAGTGAGCTCAGAGAACAGTCAGGTTACTGGCTCTTCTTCAGCTGACTGGATTACTAAGGCAGGAAAGCACTAAAAATAAATCAGGGCACAAATTCTTCTGCCAGGAGTCGAGTATGGAGATAACTTGTCTGCCCAGAGGTGTTGACATCATCTATTCTTCTAATACACAGCGCAAATAAGAGCCAGTGTGAGAAACGGATTTGGCCACAGACTAGCATCAGTAAAAGCCTTTAGGCCTTGTCCTCATACATCCATGGTCCTTGTCAGATTCACAGGAGCAGTCCCGCACTTTCTCTAGAATATAACAGCGTTCATCAAGGTGAGAACTGGAAATTAAACTCAGAGCCAGTGTCAGGGGAAATCACTTGATCTCTCCCAGTTTCAAATATATTTTTGCTACATCTCTCCCATCCATGGGGCTTCGGTGTTTCCCCAAAGGAATCAGCTTCGACAAGAGTTGGAAATGTTGGAAGATCTCTCAGTAACTCAGTTCTCTAGAACCCAGAGACTCACAGTGATCCAAGCTACCTAATGCAGAGCAAGGATTCCTAACACAGAGCAAGGAATTCAGCAATTCCTACCGCTGAATTTCTATTTCCATTGTTCTTCAGATGTCCTGAGCACAAAGCCATTGCTTGTCAGAATTAATCTATGGGTCTCACTCCCTCCCTCTCTCCTTCCCGCCCTGCCTCCCTTTCTCCTTTCCTTCCTTCTTTCCTTTAGCACTGAGTTGAGCTCCATAAAATGACCCCAAATCTCCCTGCCATGCCAGGTAAAGAGCAGGTATTAACATTCTCTTTTTATTACCCTCTCCCTCTTTTTTGCCACACAGTACTCCTCCTTTCTCTCTATGGCAATGCATTTTCTCTTCATCTTGGCCTGCTTTTTGCCGTTTTCGGTTTCTAGCAGGTTCTGCCTGGCCTGGCCTCCCCAAGGGCAGAGGCAAAGGCCCCGATGAAGCTGAAGACAAGGAAAGGACAGATGTGGAAGCTGCTGCTCTGCCTTGTCTGCTACTCACTCACTCTGGCACCGGCCTCTCAGGGCACGCTGGCCCCAAGGGGTTGCTGGGAAATGCAGACTTTATCAGCTCCAGATATATGGATCCAGCCAGGGAATACTGAGCTCCCCCAGAGTATTTTTGAAACCCTTCATGCATTTTGCTTAGCTCTTTACAGAATGAGCATGTGAACGAGCCAGTGTGCTTAGTCCTGAGAATAGAAGCTGGAAACTATTGTACTGACTTCCATAGATTAAAAGCATCAGGATTGTATTCTATGTCCTGCTCCCAAGGAATGAACAGCATTTGATTTTCCTAATCTGTAGGATCAATCTGAGAAACCCCAGCCAACCAGCAGCCTTGGCTTCCAAGGTACTCACAGCCTCCACGGTTGTTGTCTGGTGTTCTGCTGTGCTGTCCCCACAACAAGAGCCCCTCAGGGCTGTGTGTGAAGTAGGTCCCGACTGTCTGGCAAGAAGGGGCATAAACTGGGATGACAGCTGTGTGCACGGAGGCTTTGTATCAGCTGGAGGAGCTGGAGAAGGGTCTTCCGATTTCACCCTATTGACCAGCTTTCTATTGACTGCATTTGGAGAGCACTCATTCTCCCAAAAGAGGACAGAAACTATGTGACCTTGAGTTAGCCACTAATAACTGCACAGCAAATTGCAACAGGAATGAGGACATAAAAGCCAGGGCAGAGCCGAGGTCTTGTGGTGAGCAAGGCATTTTTAGCTGGAATCTAAAGAATTTTGGTACTGGCATTTAAAGGAAGTTTAAGCTGTCCCTTGAAAAGACAGGAGGCTGGTCACAGTTGTTTGAGTCACATTATAATTTTACTGATTTTTGATATTCATTTTAGCACTTACTTCAGGAGAGAATCTATGCAGTATTACAGATAGTTGTAGAGAAAAGTTTTATACAAAGTCGTAATTTTTTATTAGTAGTGGGGATTGAACCCAGGACTTTCTCACTGAGCTATATCTCCAGTCAACCCCACCTCCTTTAAATTTTGAGACAGGGTCTCACTTAGTTGTGAAATTGCTCAGGTTAGGCTCAAACTTTTGGTCTTTTTGCCTCAGCCTCCTGTTCTGGGATTATAGGTGTGCACCACCACACTCAACTTTAGTTTAATTTTTATTTTTTTAGTATTAGGAATGGAACCAAGGCCTTACACTGGGCTACAGACCCAGCCCCAGCTCCCCGTTTTTGGAGATGTCTGGCTTTAGGGTCTGGCAAATTTACTAAATTGCCCAGGCTGGGCTTGAACCTGCAATTCTCCTGCCGCAGCCTCCCAGAGTGTTAGGATTATAAGCACACACCACTGCACTCATGCTAATTTTCTTTTTTCTTCTTTTTCTTTTGTTTTGTTTGAGACAGGGTCTTCCTATGTAGTCTAGGCTGGCAGTGAACTCATGGCAATCATCCTGCCTCAGCCTACTGAGTGCTGGGATTACAGGTGTGTGCCACTATGCTCAGCTTTAATTTTGTTTTTCTTTCTTTTTTGTGTGGGAGGGTTCTTTTTGAGACAGGGTCTTGCTATGCAGCTCAGGCTGTCCTTGAGCTCACTTTGTAGCCCAGGCTGGTCTCAAACTTGCAATGATCCTCCTACCTCTGCCTCCTGAGTGCTGGGATTACAGGCACATGCCACCATGCCCAGATTTAATTTTCTTTTTAACTGCAAACAGGTGCCTGTATTTATGAGGTAGAGTGTGATGTTTCAACGTGTATACATTGTGGCATGACAACAAATTAGTGTATTATCACCACAAATATTTATCATTTTGAAGTAGTAAGAACAGTTAAAATCCTCTCTAACCTATTTTGAAACATACAATACATAATTGTTAACTACGGTTACCTTGGTGTGGGAGATAACACTAGAATTTATTTTTCCTATCGAACTATAACTTTTTAAAGCCAAGCATAGTGGCACATGCCTGTAATCCCAGCACTTGGGAGGCTGAGGCAGGAGGAACATTGCGAGTTCGAGGCCAGCCTGATCTATAAAGTGAGCTCAAGGTCAGCCTGAACTGCACAGTGAGACCCTGTCTCAAAAAGACAAAAAACAAAAACAAAACAAAACAAAAAATATATATACACATATAACTTTTTAACGTGTTATCCAAACCCTTTCCCCTGCCAATTATCTTTCTACTTATGGTGAAGGATTTTAAATTGTGGAAAGCCACTTTTTTCTCAGAAGCTCAAGATTTTTCATTTTATACACTGTTAGTGGATTGTGCTAAATTGATCAATATACTTAAAATACTGTACAATAAAAAGAATTTAGGTTCAATCAGTACAGAAACTTTTTATTACCTGGAACAAGCTGAAAATTTCTGTGATAAATACAGATTTCTATTCTAATAAATTAGAAGTTTAATAAGCCTTGACTGAGGATGTACTGTTTACCCAAAATGGAGCAGCTAGGTTGTGCGATAGACTGAACACAAAGAAAAGGCTTAAATGTCCAACTACCTTTGCAGGAGACAAAGTGTATAGAGCCTGGTGCAAACATTTCTTTAGCCATTTGGCGCAGTTGGTGTTTCTTGAACACCTCAGAGACACCATCTGTTTTATTTTGTTTCATTTCATAGTTCCAGACTACTTGTCTCTCTAGTTTCAGACAATTGTTTAAAGATGAAATGATGCTTGTTGGCCATGACAGAGGTGGTGGAATTCAATATTACCCCATTTCTAGTAGTTGTGAAGAAAAAGGCAAATTGCCCTGGAAGGACTCATTAAAAACACAGTCTCCCACATCAAAGGGTAGCATGTGCGCCCATAACTTATGCAACGCAATCCTGTGAGTGCTGACAGCCCCAAGGGCTCTGTTACCTGCAGGAATCTGTGACTCAGCATCTGGCCCCCTGCAAGCAGGATCTTACCATGCTGTCAGAGCTCAAGGTGAGTTTCAGGTCATCCAAGCCAATTCTGCCTTAAAAACATTTATTCAAACAAGTGGGAGCCTAAAGTCAGCAAAGAGAAGGCATTTGCCAAGGTAGTGAGTTACTGCCATGGGGATATAGGGAAACATTGTGAAATTTGATAAAAAGAAGTTATCGAAAGAAGGTGTCCTTCAGAACTATGGGCATAGAAAGCTTCATCAGTGAAGCTTTCTGGGTTATCTATTCTATACCTTTCACCATCTTTGAACTATTTTAAACTCTGTAAAGTAGGGAAAATTGAGCGTCATGCAAATGCATAGAAATACAATTAAATTGTATCTTTTTTTTTGTCCTTTTGAGACTGGGTTTCATTATTTTGTTCAGGCTGGCCTTGAACTCACTTTGTAGCCCAGGTGGGCCTTAAACCCACAGAGATCCTCCTGCCTCAGCCTCCCAAGTGCTGGGATTACAGGCGTGTACCACCATGCCTGGCGAATTGTATTTTGTGGAAGTACAGTTGACCACTAGATCTACACACAGGAAACAAACTTTGCATCTACTAAATTCATTTTAGTATTTCTAGTTATCTTTTAATCAGTTTTTAACATTTTGTCAGATCTCTTAATTAGAATTAAATAAAACCTTGTTCATTATTATTATCAAAGATAATAAACCTTTGTTTGACCTGTGTTCATTTCACATTTGTATGGCAGCCAATATTTTACCTTAAAAAGTATCTTTTCACCAAAAAATAACCCCAGACTTTCAGTAAGTACTCTACATTCCTTCAACAAGCTTAGTTTGTATGTCTAATCAGCTTTTATTAGTGATTTGTGGATCAGGCAGTATCTCATTTTATAAAATAGAATAGGTGCTCTAATAGAATAGATGCTCTTACTAGATATGACAAGACAGTTCCTTTTTTCTTGAGGAGAGAATAAAGAAACAATTTTTTTAAAAAAGCAGATTGATTATCACCGGGTTCCTTGTAAGAGTTAACTCAGAGAGGACCTCCCATCAAGCTGGCTCAGGTGACCGGCCCCACGATTGCTCTGAATCTTGCGTTTCCATGGAAAACTGTTTGTGATCTTACCTGGTGCCTTGAAGTTTCCCTTTGATGACACAGTATTTAGCAGGAGAGTGCAATTTGGCTCGCTCTTCTGGGGACTAATCTAGAAACTCACCTGAAACTCAGTCCAAAATAGGGGCCTCTGACAAGTTTTGCTCAACATTTTCTTCACTGAGAATAAGCATTGGTGCAATTTATATGGATTTCTGGAATGGCTAAGCAGTCTCATAAGTTTTTTGTCATATGTTCATTCCTTTACTGATCATGTATGTATCATTTTTTAAAAAAATGATTGAGGGAAGTTTCATGTGACATAAAATTAACCACTTGAAAGTAAACAATTTGGAGGCATGTAGTACATTCATAATGTAGCGCAAAACTTTCTGTAGTTCTAACATAATTTCATCACTCCCAAGTGAAACCCCATATCCATTAAGAAATTTCTCCTCACTGCTTTCGTCCCATGTCCCCTAACAATCCGCACACTGGATTCCATCTCTATGAAATTTTCTGTTTTGATATTCCATATAAATGGAAGCATACAACGTGTGGCCTTTTGTGTCTGGATGTTTTCACTAGCATGTGTTTTGGAGATTTATCTGACATTGTCGTGTGTAGTCAGAGACCCCCATAGGGACAAAAGACAAACGAACTCTTAGGCCTTTAACCTGTTACTCAGGTTGTATTTTCTTATAAGATAGAGACTTAAAAGTGGATTTTGCTAATAGTCATCATGTTCACTTGGGCCTACAAATGCCCAAAATGTAACTAAAAGTGAAACAAAGCTTGGCTTTCATTTTGGAAAACTCTGGGTCAGATCTTTATCAGCTCTGCTTATCAGCATGGTAGTCCTTTGTAGAGTATCTGTCTAGAAGTTGACAAAGTACAATTCATTACCCCTAAATGTACCAAGCCATCGTATTACCCTTTAAGAAGAAGGATAACAGGAGAAGAGATTTACAGACACTGAGCTAAGCTGCAGGTCTCTACTGCCTTAAATCTATGGTCATCTTAGATTCCAACAGAGCTTCATGTAACTGAGGTTTCCCCTCAAACTATGAGGGTTCCTCCCATGGGAACCAAATTGCCCTTAAATTCAGGAGGATTCAACTTGAGCTATGAAGCCAAGACTGGAATACTAATCAGCCAGACCCCAGCTTACTTTAGCTGTTCCTTAAAAGCTGGCCTCCTGCTTTTGTGAGTGGGCCGGTCTGGTCCTCTTCATGAGAGTGCTCCCTCCAGCCACTACTCAAGCTGGACTCCTTTTCTTGTCTCTGTTACATTAGAATGAAAGCTTTCCCCTGTAAATCCATACTGGCAATTTAGTTTTAATTTCCATTATTACTAAAGCAAGAATCTATACTAGCCAGTGAGTATTGTAGCATACATCAGTACTGCATTCTTTTTAATGGTTGAATAATATTCCCTTGTATGTACATACCACAGTTTGATTAACCTTGTAACCACTGATGGTCATTTAGGCTGTTTATACTTTTTGGCTATTGTTAATGGTACTGCTGTGAGCATATTTGCATGTCTATTTTAGTTCTTCCAAGTAGATTCTGAGAACAGTAATTCTTACATCTAAATTTTTGAGGAACTGCCAAATTCTTTCTACAGTGGCTGAACT